TGTGACATCACCCGTCCTACACATTTCCACAAGCATCCACTGAACACCCTCCATGTGCCTAGCACCATGCCGGCACCGTGGTACAGGATTGCTTATTTACTGAAATTTTCCACTAGATTGCAAGCTCTTTGAGGAAAAGAGCTTCATCTTGTTCTCTACTTCATCACTAGTACTTAGCACAGAGCCTTACAATGGTAGGGGCTCAATAAATACTTGAATGGCTTCTCTCAAAGAATTAAGTTTCAGTCTATTGTAGGAGAGATGGACAATATTTTCAATAATGAAAAAGCAAAAGCTAAATAGCACAGAGAGAAAAAGGATTAACTAGGGCTCAAGTGTATGGGTCTAAGAAGACTTCCTAGAGTTAGAAACATTTGAAATGAATGGTTTTATCAAATCTGGGGACAGCGAAAAGCAGAAGGAAGAGGCTGTGCAAAAGCGGAGAAGGGAATCCTCCGGATTTGCAGGACCTCCCCGCAGTAGCTGCAAACACGCCCTCCTCACCAGCCGGAGCCCTCCGCAGGGACAACCATACACTGCTGCAGAATAAGCCTGAACAAATTTAAGAAGATGGAATGATTCTGTGGACCTTTTTCTGGCTACAGTATTATAAAACAAGAAATCAACAACAGGAAGAAGTTCAGAAACTTTATAAGCATATAAAAATTAAACAACTCTGAACAATCAGAAGGTCAGGGAGGAAATCACAAAGGAAATTGCAAATTTTCTTGAGACCCATGAAAATAGAAGCACAACACACCAATACCTCTAAGATACAGTAAAGGCAACATTCAGATGGAAGTTTATCACAATAAACAAAGACATGAAAAAAAGTAGATCTCAAGTAAACAACCTAATGATGCACCTCAAGGAACTAGAAAAACAAGAACAAACACAGCCCAGAATGTGAGAGGAAGGATATAATAAAGATCAGAGCAGAAATAAAGGACATGGAAGCTTTAATAGGAAAGTTCAATGAAATGAAAAGTTGGTTTTTTGAAAATATAAACAAAATCAACAAACTTTCAGCTAGGCTAAGGAAAAAAGACTTAAATACAATCAGAGATGAAAAAGCGATACCACAGATTTACGCAGAATAAGAGACTGTTGTGAACAGTTGTACACCAAAAAAATTGAATAACCTGGAAAAATGGAGAAATTTCTGGATATATGCAACTTACCAAGACTGAGTAATGAAGAAATAAAAAATCAGAATGGATCAATGGTAAGAGATGGAGTTGAATCAGTAATAAAAACTCTCATCCAAGAAAAGCTCAGAGCTTGATGGCTTCACTGATGAATTCAACATTTAAAGAACTAGTACTGCTTCTTCCTAAAAAATTGAACAGATAAAAATATTTCAAGATCATCTTATGAGGCCATTGTTACACTAATACTATAACCAAAGACGCAACAATAAAAAGGAAATTCTCAGGCCAATATCCTCAGTCAACAGAATACTAGTAAACCAAGTTCAATGGCACTTTAAAAAGATCATTCACAACAATAGAGAGGCATGAAGGAAGCAGGGGCCTTTGAGCTCCAGCACAGCATAGGAATTTAGGGGAAGTAAGTGATTTTCACTTTCTGCCTGGGTTTTGAAAAAGGCAGAGTCAAAGACTGTGAAAATAGATGTATCCGTCCAGAAGGGCAGGTTCTGCGCCCATCTTGGGCAGAGCTGATTCAGGCTGTCCATGTTCATTCAGTTGGTCGGGTGGAAAAGTAGAGCGAGGGACAAGGGTGCCCGTGCGGCAGGGCTGCCTGTATGAGGTCTGCAACGCTGGTTTAAGGGAGAAAGCCTTGCCTACTCATGCAGGGAATCCAGTCAGAGCTGAGGACAGCGACCCTCGAGAGATGCCCAGCAGCAGGAGGACAATGTCTGTTAAGGTAGAAGGCCTCGCACTGGCTGTCGGCCGAGATGGAACAGTGTAACACCCTGTGAGGAAGGAGTGGGGATGGAGGTGCAGGTGGGGCATGCACAGGGCCCCAATCAGGTAAGCAGATCTATTAAGATGAGGAGAAGGGACTTACACTGTTGGGGAATCAAGCTACAAACAAGGAAAGGGAAACCTGGGGTTATCCCCAGGGGCTGGATTGTAATCAGAGGTGCTGAGGAGAACTCCCAGTGGTTGATGTCTAAGTAGAAAAAGAAATAGGTATAGGTGGAAAATACAGGTGTATATACATACTCACACCTGGGAATGTGCAAACACACATCTTCCTTAATCATTTCTACTCAACCTGAGCTCTAACATTCTGAATACAGGGAGATCCACAGTGATCAGATTTTAGCTTCTAAATTACATTTGCAATTTAAAAAAAAAAAAAGGAGAAACACTTGGAGAAGGCAGGAATGAGCCTGGAACATCTTGCTATCCAAATAGTAAGTGCTCAAAAGAACAATGGGAAAAGCAAGAAAAGATACTGTGTCTAGAATTTCTAGAACAATTTCAACATAAATAAATAGCATTATTAATCATATACCACAGCATAAAGAATCGGGAACCCAGAGCATTAAAAATTACTGAAAATATGAAAAGTTTGATGAGGAACACAATGTTTAGTTACAAAGAGAAAAGCAGTAAAAACAGTAACCTGGCAGCAGAGAGCCTGGCAGGTGACCAAGTGGACATCATCAGTAATGGGACACACTGAACTTTGGTGCCACCTGAGAGGAGAACAGAGCATCATTTTGTGACATTTCTGCCAAAAATCCACGTCCTAAATCTAACCAGGATAAAAATCCAGATGGAAGGACATTCTAGAATATGACTGGCTTATGATCTTCAGAACAGTTGAGGTCATGAAAATCAAAGGAAGACTGAGGAACAATTTCACACTGCAGCAGACTAACAGGATTTGATGTCCAAAGGCAACGTGCGACCCTAAACTGCACCATCGGTGGTAAGGGTTATCGCCATTATCGAGACAGAACCGAGACTTCTGTGGCCTGAGATCCAGATGTTGGAATGCATGATGTGAACTTCACAATCTCGATGGTGGCTCTCTTTATTCACTGGAAATACAGTACGTAGGGGTGACAGGCTTCATGCTGGATACTTGCTTTCAGATGATCCAGTAGAAGAGACTTCTTTATTTTATATCTGCAAGTTTCCTGTACATTCGAGATGACGATGACGACGACGAAGATGACGTGTGCGGGTACATGCTCCAGTCTCGGAAGCAGAACTCTAAAATGTAAACACTCAGGGAAGAAAGACCCGTCTCTGCTGAACCCTGGAAAGGAGGCTGTGAGGGACAGAGGGTGGATTCCGCATCACAGTGCCCGTCTGTCTGCTTCACATCTGGGGTTTGCTTCACTCCCAGCGTGTGGAGTCAGGTGCTCTAGGAGCTGCTTCTCCGTCCATGCTGTGGCTCAGCCCTTCAGCTTCATGGAGACTGGCTTTCATATCTGGCCAAGGCAGCCAGTTCCCCTGAGTATGGCTCCTGTCTATAGGCTGTTCATACAATGTTGGAAAACACAAAACCATCCTAAAGTGTGATTTTGCACTTTTCTTTTTGCTTGTTTATAAGGTCCAACATGAGCGAGATGCTACTGCCTCCAACCCACTTCCTTCTTGGCCACCTAATTACCTTTCGTGCATCAACATCAACATCAAGAGGATGCTTTTCCCCAGCCAGAGAGCAACTGGAACCTTTTAATACCTTGGTAGCCATTCAGGACGGATGGAATGGGGGAAGTTGGAAAGTAAGTACCTGTCACACTTTTTCTTAACCTTTGTGCCTAGCTAGGAGATAGAGCTCCACCTCGCTGTGTCCTGTCAGGTTACCAGCCCTCCATGCAAGAACTATTTCTCCAGCATCTTCTCTGTGGCAGACAGCACTGTAAATTATTGGGCAGCACACACAACAGATAATGGTGCCTTGCACCAGGTTCTTCTTTCTTCTTGCTCTACCTGGGTATTTCTACTTGGACTTCAAGATTCCATTCAAACCTCTGGAGGGCTTCCTTGTCACTGTGCCCAGAGAACACTGATTATTGTTTCCTGAGCTGTTATAGTACTTTATTCATACCCCTTTTATACCACTCCATTATCTTATTCTCTAAGTTAACAGACTATTCTGGGGCCCCGTTTAAACTTTACAGAAAAACGGAGGAAAAGGTACATAGAGTTCCCATACCACTCCAGCCACTCTCTTTTCCTTAGTATTAACATCTTTCATTAGAGGGATCCATTTGTTACAATTGATGAGTCAATTTAAAGCCCAGCACGGTGGCCCAGGCCTGTAATCCCAGTACTCAGAGGGCTGAGGTAGGAAGATCACTGCCTAGGCTACATAGTGAGTTCAGTGCCACTCTAAACTACATAGCAAGACCCTGTCTTGAAAAAAAACTCATTTTTTATCTTGTGCATTTCATGAGCTTAGCAAGTGTACAAGAGCAAATACCCACCATTCTAGTAATGTACAGAATGATTTCAGGGCCCTAAAAATTCTCTGTGCCATGATTCTGGAAGGCCGAGGAAGGAGGATCTCGAGTTCAAACTCTGTCTGGGTAACTTGGTAAATTAGCAGTACCCTACCTCAGAAAGGTAGAGAGGAGAAGGCTGAGGTTATGGCTCATTGTAAAGGACCTATTCATCCCTTCTTCCCTCCACAGCTACCTTTCTGGTGATCCACTGAGCAAGAGAGATGACTGAAGAAGAAAAAGATGACGCAACAGAAGGTTGTGCTGAGGACCCTGGTATGCAAAGAAGACTCTGAACTCAAGCTTGGATTAGGAATGTGTGGTTGATTAGATTTGGAGCAGCGGATATTAACTTTCTCTTTCCCTCTGATGGTGGGATAATCGTCCTTGTTAGACTTGGCCATGTGACTTGCTGTGGCCAATGGAATGTGAGCAATCACAGTGCAAGCAGAAGCCTCGAATGCAGAGGCACGGTTTGGTCTTGGGTGTTCTCCCAATCTGTCATGAAGAGGACATCCCTAGGGACTCAGTGCACTTTGGGTCAGGGTTCTAGAAAGAGACAGAAGCTCACCTGAACCGACATCCTGGAGCAGAGGCACCTTGGCAGACCTGCAGGTCTGTGAGCAGGACAGAAATGGGTATATTGTTCTTTGGGGGTTGTCATCAGCAGTGGTGATTCATACAGACAACTTCCTGGGGAACAAGGAACATGGGAAACATTATTCAGATAAACAGGGAGAGGTTAAGAGAGAACCTAGATTAGCACAGGGGGATATGCGCTTATTGAATATTTATGACTGGCAGGAGCCACTCAGTTAGCTGCCAATGGAAGTGGAAAGGTGGAAACGCTGGCTGGGGCCAGTAAGGGTCAATGGTAATCGCTCTCAGATTCTGAACCCCTGCTTCTTCCTGCAATGGCTCATGATTGGTGGGCCAATCATGACTGCCCTGTTTTCCCTTTTCCAGCCTCTCTTTAGCAAGAGAATGGCTATGTGATCCATGTTGGCCCTTGAGAACTAAACAGAAATGTTTTCATGGATTTCTAAAGAGCCTTTTTCTTTTCTGATGAGTGATGTCAGGTGTGGCTAGAGCAGTCTTTCACTCTCCTGGCTTGAGCCAGATGCAGTTGCTGGAGTTATGACAACCTTCCTGCATTGATGAGGGAATGGCCAGACACATTTCGGTGACAATGGCCCCACCATCTTTGAGCTGCTGAGCCAATGCTTGGAATTGCAGCAACCTACTCTAGACATCTGACTGTATGAAGAAATAGTTCCTTCTCTGTACAAGCTCCGATAAGGGGGGCTTTGTGTTGGTGTGAGATTTTGTGTTAGTTAGCTTTCTGAACCAATACAATAGCTAACATTTACATTTACAAGCACTTACTACAAGCCTGGCACCGTGTTAAGCATTTTAAGACATTATGCCATTTAACCTTTCTAAATCCTATGAAAATTGTATTAGCACCACATTGACATTCTTTCCAGAGGTCAGATCTGCGAAAGGGTCCACTATCCAATTCCACCAGACTCCTGGTGCACATATCCTTGTCCAGTTGCAGCCACCACAATTCAGTAAGTTGGAGTTTTACTCTACCTGGATATAGCCTGGGTGAGAAATTGCCTTGAGAAACAGAGGTAAGCCAGGATCCTCTGTTCCCTCCCAGTAACAGGGAGAAGTTGTGAGTGGCAGTTACAGGCCTGAGGACTGTGGGCTTCTGAGGCCCCTGGGGGCTCTTCTGAGCTCAGCACAGCCCAGGGGACAGTGGGGATGGGCAGAAAGGGTGCTGAGGCACTCTCAGTGCTTCCAGAGCCTGAGTCAGCCAGGCTCCTTCGGGTCTTGTCAGCTCGATGGATGAAGCCATTGAAAACAACCCTCACACTGCTGCTGGATAATTCCCCAACCAGTTCAAGAAGGAAACATCTCTGAGATAGTCATTCACTCCTTCATATAGATGAGTTTCAGTTTTCTTTGCAATATTCAGGCGAAAAGTACTTAAAAGAACAAAAGTTTCGTTAGGTGATATTGGATAAATGTTGCAGAATGAATAAATGTGTGTACAAATGAGCTGCATTCACAAGAGTGTTCAGAAGCCTATGGGTGGGCTCTTTGAGTTGTGCCCAGGGCTGGACACACACATACACACACACACACTCTCTCTCACACACACACACACACACACACACACACACTCATACATATGCACTCACAGCCTTTAAGAGGGAATGCGGAATTTTCTAGGTCTTCTTAGGTGACAGAAGCAAGATTCAAAAGGTTTAAGAAGTTAGAAAAAAACAAGGGCAATGAGCTCCTGAGCCTGTTACCGAAGCAGTCTTCAGAACGAGGGGCCCAAAAGAGATGTGAGTCAGACCACACCTAAAGGCTGAACTCAGTTCTGAAAAGACACCCAGGCACACTGGTGACCCAACCAAAAGCCGCGCAACAGGCATATGCACAGGGTGAAGAAGAAGAGCAGGACAGAAGTGGCCTCAAAGGAGCAGGATCTCTGGGAGCAGCTGGAGGATGTGTTATGTAGAGTCAATTAGAACACCTGGCCTCTGGGACATGTGTGGAGCTTTGTAAAGATTTGCTGAACCAACCAAGTGGGGTTTCCCAAAGTATGAAGAGCTTTCCATAAAGGATTTGAATTTCCTGCCCATGGGTGTATGTAAGTAAAAAACAGACAGCCTCTTGTTGGTACTGTTCTAGGAAAGATCCAAGTGTCCAGTAAAGATTTGAGAATAGATGTTAACTTCTCTCAAGTCCATGGAATTTTATTCCATGTGGCTAGATGTTAGCCATGTTTACCTCTCAGGCATTTCTCTTCTTAAATTGGTGATTTCCAAAGAAAAGAGAGGAAGGAAGAATGAAAGCAGAAAAGAAAAAGGAGAGAAAAGGACAGTGCAGGACCCCTTAGGCTCCCAGAGGCTGCCCCTTCCCAAGGTGGGGGATGGACTACCTGTGGATACCACATCATTACAGTCTTGCTCATGCTGCATGGCAGTTGTGTCTGTCCTGGGGTGTCTGTTCTGTACCATTTTGTCACTAACACACAGTGTAAACAGTTTCTATTGATAAACATTTGTTGAGTGAACAAGTGAGTGAATGAATGAATGAATAAATAGTGCACTTGCTCAGGCTTTGTTAGGGACTTGTTTTCTAGAGTGGAACACACTTCATACAATGTTCTTAGGTAGGGTTTGTGGATATTATTCCAGAGGAGGGAAAGGGAAGCCAGACAGCTGAGGGTGGGAGAGACATGGTGGAGAAGTGAAAGCTACCCTCGTGGATTTCAGAAGTGCCTGGGATGTTGTACCTGAGGCTAAAACATCAGGCCATGTTTACTTCTATAAACTGCTTAGAGTTTTCATAAAAACAAAAAATAAACAGCAAAACTTCTTGTTACTTTTGTGTCCCTTCTTGCTGTGCTGTTTTTTGTTAATGAGATATGCAAGCATCCATCCCTCAATTCTAGGTCTGATAGTCTCTTTCCTTTGTGCTGGTCTCCAACATTTAGACAATTTGAGTACTGATCTGAGTAAGGGTTTTAGTGAGCAGAAGCCCTTAGCAGATGAAGGGATGTCAAATGAGGTCAGGGCCTCCTGTTCCTTATCAGTGTTTGAGCCCAAGCTGGGTCTAATACATAGCAGATGCTCAGAAATATGTGGAGGATGAATAAAATATTTACTGTCTGCCTCGAAGCCAGATATATAATGAGCACCTTACTAACATTACTTGTTAATCCACTAACACCCTTGTGATTAAGTGTGATTCTGATCTTAAACACACACACACAAAATAAGATGAACTAAGCACAGTGGTGACTGAATGAGGCAGGATTCAAAAGCAGAGCTGCCTGACTGGGAAGCCAGGCTGTGTCCTTGTCAGAGCTAGTAAGGGGCAGCGGCCTTTGGCCCAAGTGAGGCCAATCCTCTGGGCTCCTCCTGCCACCAGCCTGGCCCTTGCTTCCTCTGGTCATTCTTGGTTCCAGATCTCTGGCAACCTGCTCCAAGAGCTTTTAAGAACAAGGAGGGATGTGAGCAGCAAACAGATGATGGAAAGAGTTAGGTCAATGACAGAGGGATGGTGGACAGGAGAATCAGTGCATGGATAGCCAGTTACTTACAAAGGCTCCCTCCCCTCCCTGCACCTATAGCATCAGCCTTTTCATTTCCTCTGGCCACAGATGCTAAAACATGGATCAGCCCTAAGTCTTCCCTGCCAGTCATACCCTACCCTGAATGACAAATGCCCTGAAGTCTTGAAAGTGGAGCCTACATTTATGCGCCAGCTTTTGCCCAGACCTCATTAATTCAGGAAGATGATACCTCCGCCAGTGGAAAGATATCAAATGCATGCACAAACTCCTTAATTGCGGGTTTCCTTTCGCTGTCTGCTCCCTTAATAAACTTGGAAACTATTTTATGTAAATCGTATTCATTGAATGGAGCCTTTGCATATTTCTACTCCTTGAGCTGGGCAGAGATGAGGCACAGCCTGGGGAAAATGTTCCTTGCCTGGGAGATGGCCCTGGTAAGTGCCTCAGCTTTTCCACTCGGGACCCAGGCTCCTTGCTGGATGCTGGATGGGAATGTGAGCTCCTGTCTGACTGGCAACAGAATAATGGTGAGTCCTGGCACCAGGACTAACAGTGAGGGCAGGAAGTGTAGGCCAAGCCTAGAGGTACCTGGAGTGACAGCTGGCTTTAAGAAGGATCATGTGTGGGTGACAGTGAGTGGAATGGAGGAAAGGAGATGTTGATCAGCCAGCAAGGAAGGGCATCCAGGACAGAAGTCCAGAGGGACAGATGTCCCTAAGCTGTCTCCTGGTCACGCCTAGATTCTCATGCAGAATACCTAGAACTACTTTGTGTTTCTACCTGGCTGCCTCTGCCATTGGCCTCACAGCTGCCTTTCAGACCTGGAAGCATGCTGGCCTGGTTCTGATACTTACGGTGTGACCTTCAGCCAGTGTCTTTGCCATTTTGTGCCTTGATATTTTTTGCCTGTAAGATGGGGAAGACTAGACTGACTACTGCACAGGATTTGGTGATTTATTCTTCATCGAGCACTGCTAACAGTGCCAAGCACCTAGAAAGGCGTTAGGGAGAAGCTGCTCTTGTCATCACAATCCCCCTCATTATCATCTACCTCTATTAATGGTAACCAGTCAACCACACTAGAAACTGCAATTTATTCTCCTGTGGGGAATGGATTTCCACTCCACTCCACTCCTCAAACCAATACTCCCCAAGGCTATGGCAGATAAAGACAAACTCATAAGGACAGAGGGAGCAGCCATTGTGTGACGGAACAGCCGGGAGAGACCAAACGTGAAGCAGGAATGAAAGGCTGGCCTGTGGTTGGTTGCCCAGTCCACTGGGGGAATAGGATGCAGTGGGCAGAGCAGATGACCCTTCAGCCCTTGCATGGGAAGTAGAATCAAAGACAAATGACAGTTCTCAGAAAGGGTAGGACCTAGGAGGTCTCCATGAGGGAGGGGAAAGAGGATTGTCAGGGAGGAGCTCTCTCTGCAGACACAGGGCCTTAGAATGAAGGTGAAGGTTTGGCACTGCAGGGATGGTGGGTGGGTTCTGGAGCATCTGGCCCTGGCCCGTCCCTTACAAACCCTTTGTGGGAAGAAACAGGCGTAAAGGAGTGCTGACACCTTTCTCTGCACTAGCTAAGAAACCA